AAGATATTTTTTTTTTATGTGGACCTTTTTAAAGTCTTTACTGAATTTGTTACCATACTGCTGTTTTCTGTTTGGGTTTTTTGGCTGCGAGGCATGTGGGATCCCAGCTCCCCGACCAGGGATCAAACCCTCACCCCCTGCATTGGAAGGTGAAGCCTTAACCACTGGACCACCGGGGAAGTCCCTTACATTTTTCTTTTAAATTGATTCTTCCTTATTGAAAACGTACTTTATTTATTTATTTATTTATTGGCCGTGCCCCGCGGCATGTGGCATGGCATCTTGGTTCCCCGGGATTGAACCTGCGCCCCCTGCAGTGGAAGTGCCCGTCTTAACCACTGACACGCCAGGGAAGTCCTGAAACAATACTTTAAAAGGAAACTTTATATCACTGGTGTAAATAGAAAGCCTACACCATTTGCCATCCATCTGAGGTAACCATAAAAACAAACAAAAATCGAAACAATGTTACTGCATTTGGGGGTGGGGTGGGGGACACTGTCACCCCCAAAAAAGAAACAGACAGATATTACAGGGTATTAGGAAAAGCAGAAGGTGGTTGTAGGGGATGGGGAGGGGTTAGCGTTTAATGGGGACAGAGTTTCAGTTTGGGAAGCTGAAAAAGTTCTGGAGACGATGGTGGTAATGGTTATATAACAGTGTGAATGTCTTGATGCCACTGAACTGGACACTTAAAAATGGTGAATTTTATGCTATGTATATTTTACCAAAATTTTTTTTAAAAAGAAAAAAATGGAAACAACATGTTGGCACCCGAAATGAATTTTTTATCTTGAGGGCGTCTAATGTGACAGGGGAACCCGGGGACAGGGAGGGTCAGGCCAGAAAGCCACAGTGGAAAAAGGAGAAGGGGCGGCTGTGCAAAGAAGCGGTGAGTGGGGGCAGAGGAAGACACAGCCCTCCCTCCACCCACCTGCAGGTTCACCCTTCCCTGTCCGCCATGACAGAGGCAGGGCCTGCAGGGCGGAAGCCACCTCAAGGGGCAGAGCAGGCTTGGGGTGGGGGTGGGGCCCACAAGGGAAGCAGGAAGAAAACCACCCACGGAAGCAGGATGGAACATCTACCCAGCAGCATGGTGCTCAGGCACTGAAAACTTAAGATCATGAAGCAACACAGAAAAACAGCTGGGCTTTAACACTTGCTGGTGGTTGGTAGAGAAGGAAGTTCCCAAGTGACCTGAATACCAGGTTTGAGCTTCGTGGTGGGGGCGGGGGGGGGGAAAAAGTGATAAAAAGGAAAACAAAATGGTGACTGACTGTGTTACACTCAAAGGATTATGGGAGACTTCCGTGGTGGTCCAGTGGTCAAGATTCTGTGCTTCCAATGCAGGGGGCATGGGTGTGATCCCTGGTCGGGGAACTAAGATCCCACATGCCACTCGGCCAAAAAAAAAAAAAAAGGATTATGGGATACTTCTCTTTTTCTCCCTTTTCCCAACTTTCTCTCTCGTGTCACTTATATAAAGGAGGCCTTAAAAAGAAGTTAATGAAAGATGGTTTGGAGCCCTTTCCATAACATGAAATATCAAAAAAGAATCAGGAGTTTGCCACATAACCAGCAATCCCTCGTTGTGACTGGAGGGGTTCAATCAGGTCTGGCCAATTCGCCAGAGGCTGCAAACCCCTGAAAGAGGTGGAACGGGGGGCACGGTCCCAAACTCAAGACCGTCATTACTTATACGCATCCCCCAGAGCACTGCCCTCTCTGAGGTTCCGACTGAAACGTGAATAGTTTTAACCTGATGCTCTCTACAGTTCCCCTGACCTTAAAATTGCCTGGTTATTTGATGCTATAAAATCAAGAAACAGGAAAAGCAGACTTAAAGCCCCTGGGGCTCAGGCACGCAGTGATTCCAGTAAAGTGGGAGCTTGGCCGAAAAGTCCAAGGATGAGCAAAAATTCCCCCAAGGTCCAGGAAGGTTTTCATTTTCTCTGTTCTTCACCTCACAGACTTCACCATGAACTCCTTGGGTGAAGAGGCTATTTTCCTCCCAGGTATAGATGAATGCAGATAGAAAGCTCACCTTCAGGCCCCACTCTTAAAACTCCAGAGGGGACTCTTCAAAACCTAAAGCAATACCTGACTGAACTAGGAAGCGCACACTAAAAATAAGGGAAACATTTCCAACGCTTGATTGACAGAAGCTTTCCCTGTGAAGTTAAGGGGAAAATCACAACCACCAAACACCTCCAAGACACTTAAGGTAAGCAGTTACACATTTGCAATAAAAGCTATGGATCAGATTCAAAACAAGTTATAAGATACTCAGCATCCCTCTGATGCATCAGTGATTAGGAATGTTCCCTTCCTCCTCAGAAAGTATACAAGTAAATTAAAATCCACCAGCTCTTCTCAGAAAAGAAAATGCAGTTAGAAAAAAAAAAGTTGTTACTTCAGAAACAAAAAACACAGCTCTAGAATCTCAGAGCAAGTAGCATACAAATACACCGAAACGGATTCATTTGAAGCCAGCTGTTTTTAATAGCCAGCTTCCTCCTTCTTGCCCCCCATATCAAGAGAACTTCAACCAGAGAATGAGCACGATCACCTGCAAAGTGTGGACTAACAGGTGATCTCCCCACACCAGACAGGGACCTGGACAGGGATGAAGAAAAGTTAAAGAGAAGATGTGATATCAAGCCAGAAATACGACCCTCCAGAGGAGGCAGGCACTAAACCCAAAATGCATTTGTCTGATGTGGCGTGTGCTTATTTCAGGAGGTGACCTTCAGAATACAAGTAGGTACTAGTCATGCACATAAGCTAGAAGGTAGTCTGAGCTCCGGCATCAGGCTCGCGGATGTGCGCGGATGTGCACGGATGACTATCCCAACAGACTTAACACACGTGGGACTCTGTACTGTGATCACACCCTGTTACACTGTCTAGCCTTGAAACAGGGAACCAAAGGGAGGAGCAAGGGTGTAGCGCGTGGGGATCACCCCCTTCTTTTCATCTCCAGCAAGGTGGCGGGGAGGTGTGGTAGGGCCTTGGTCACACCCAGCACCGCCTGCACCCTGCTAGGAATGAACCTGCTCGGAGTGGAGCCCCGAGGCCGCTTCAGGCTGCTGTTTCTCCATCTGAAGGATGGAAGGGCTGGCCCACATCACCCAGCTACCGTGAGGTGGGGCGGACCTCTAGTTTCATTAGTTCCTGGGGTTCCCAGATCACATCCCCCACAAAAGGTGCAGAACTCCTGAGTCCCCCCAGGAAGCTAGGGATCAAGGCAACCCTGCTCTGTGGGCAACCTGGGGTGAACCACCAACCATTCCCTTGCATCTCTCATCTGTAAAACAGGTGCATCATCTGTTAAACACCTAGGGTTTCCTCCGAAAGACCTTTCATCAAAGGTTTACGTTCCTCCCAAAGACGCTGAACGACTGATTCAACTCCCACACACACCTTCCCCACTTCTCCACAAGCCCAATTCCCACACCAGTCCGGCGCCAGGGATGAGTCCCGGTCACCAAACTCCGGAAAGCGACGTCCCCAGCCCAGGTCTCTCTGCAGGGCCCTGAACACCTCTCCCGGAGCCCGGACGAGAAAGGCGTGCGACCACGTGGACGCGCATCCCGGGACCAGCAGCGCCGGTGCGACCCTCTCCCTCCGGCAGGAGGTCCCTCCGGAAGCCCCGGGCCGGGCAGGGCTTCGCTGGCCCTTCGCCGCGCCCGCCGCACGCCCTCCGCGAGTCCCGCCGACAGCAGGGCTCCCGCCCGCACCACCTCCCGGGCGGGCCCCCTCCCGCCACAGCGCGCGGAGGCCTGGGCGCCGCCATGCGCAGTAGGGGCGACCCACGCGCACGCCGCCGGGTCACGCGCGACCAGCCGCCAGGCCAGTGGCCGCCCGGCCGCCAAGCCGGCG